TTTTCACAGAAAATTGAACGTGCCATTAATCTTTCGGCCTATTCATTCAGGCTGTTCATTGACTACCCTTCGAACAGTTGTTACATGCCTATTGGTAGAAAAGTTCAAACTCATTGGTTGCTGCCACCTACTCGACGATCCTCACACTTCATTTTCTTGCCCCATTTCATTTCTCATATCCCCACCTTTCTCTTCAAACCAGTTGAATCCTTGCGGGCCCTCCAGTGAGGCTCTATTCTTTTATTTGGCTGTTTACTTCCATGTTTACTGATTAGAATGATTATTGCATGGTTTCTGGAAGAGTATGGATCAAAGCGTTCTTCCCCTCTCTTCATCTCTAAAATTTGGAAACTTCAAAAGACTCTGTGCAATATTGGAATTGGCGTAGTTCTTACGGGCTTCCGGACCCAAATGCCTCTATCCTTGACTGGACAAGCAAGGTAGTCGGGATTTTGAGAATCTTCCTTTTGCCCAGGTCGAAATGGTGTATTAGGAGGTGGCGCATCACCACATACAGATGGCCATCTGACGAAATTCCGGACCGATATCCGCACTTACCAAGCTTCCCTCCGGTAACGGATAGTTCCGGCACCGGACTCGTCTGGGAGGAAAAAAGCACTAAGTTGTCCATCGGTTGGCCACCGCAGTTCCTTGTATAGCCGACATAAGCATTCAAACGATCCTGAACAGAGGTTGAATGCTGATGCTGTGGCGCAATCCAAAACGGGGCTGGCCGTTGCCAAGACTTGGTGCTTCCACCTTTGATAAATGTAAACGTAAATTTTTGGAAGGCAGATATGGAGTAATGCCAGGTTGTGCCACTACCACGTCGCCCGTGCCCATGGTTAATTGATCGATCCCTGACTAAATATCCCTCCCAGGTGGGCCAACTGACTTTGACTCCCATGAAGGAATCGTTATAAAGGCCACCACCTCGCTAAAGCGTCTCAAATTGTTGGAATGGCGAACTCAATCGCCATAATTGAGATCGTGGGTATGATACGCGAGCGGTCGCGTTGCGGTCGCGGTTTGCTACCTGCCTGTTTGACTGTTCTTTGGTTTCTTCATGTTGAACCTTACTGTTGCATCCTTAATAAAAGCTCATAATCCAATGGACTGATCAGCAATCAACGAAGATGAGTCAGCTGACCCGGAAGCAGGTTCCCGGCAGAGGATAACGAGCTCCTGGGAGTTGATCGAAACCGACAGCTTTGCTGTGACAACAGCGCCTCATTCCAATGTATTACACCTGAATTGAACAACTCTGACAGCTAAGATAACGAACTGATCATAGAAGAACAGAGAAAAGTTTCAATTCCCATGGAATTCTTGAAATTCTTGCTTATTCTACGAGGTTGATTGCAGGACAACAGCTGTGTCCGTCGATTAGCTGACCAAAAGCCGGCCATAGTCAGACAGCCACCCTCAGCCAATCAGCTAGCCAGCTATCCTACGGCCAAGTGTCACGAACACTTGTGCTCATCGTTCGGATGTCACCCATCACCGATCGATGCTAGGCACGGGCCATTTATCTTGGAATCTGGAAGTTTCCTGTCATTGCCCTTAGTTTTTCAGCGTTTCCTTTTTATTCAATGACTTTGCACCCGTCGGTAGGTGCTCCTTCTCGCGGAGTTACTTAAAGCTACTGCTACGATGTGTATTTTGCGTTGCTCGCTTGATTATACTCTATTTTCATGCTTTATTTGGTCCTAATTGCCACAGGGTCCTAGGGGCCTTCACAGACTCTTCTCCCCGAACATACGCTCAAGGATCTCACCCAATACATACACCCCCNCCCCCCCCCCTCCCCCCCCTCGAAGCTTGCAGATAGAAGACCCCTGCTTTGTGTTCTTTCTGAATTCGTACTCTATTGAGAGAGCGGTGGTATTCAGAAGGCATGTTCCACCGTCAGTACTTCGTCATGATCGGATACAATCCCAGAAATACGACTGTTTAAACGCTTTTGTGTTCTCTCAGTCCCGCCATAGTCTCCTCAAAGGGAGCCTGACGGGAAGTGTCTGCATTTGATGGGATCCTTGAGGAAAATACGCATAAGATAGAGCCCGGTCATCTAACTGACCAACTTACCGACCTCATCAGCCGACGTAGTCCGATCTTTTGGGCTTCCGGGTCCGATTTTGAAGCGTTCCCATTGAGGAATGCAGTAGTCCAGACTGCAGGTCCTGTATGAAATTTCGAGCTATATGAAAAGGCAGTTATGTTCAAGTTTCGAACTCTATGTCTCCCTACTTCTTAGGTTCCAGTAGTAAATAACATCTTAAATAGAATTGTGGATAGGGAATAGGGATTCTTTTTCGGACTATGTCCTGTATATGCTAAAATAGTAATAGTAGTATGATGCCTCTAGGTACTGCACATCCTATCCCACATAAGTTGTCCTCCTATGGCTTACCCACCATAGGAATGACCTCAACGATCCTGTGGTGGAATGAAATGCAATGGACTCCAACTTTTACGAGCAACGTACTTCATTCCTCGGCCCAGGCTCATTCAAAAGTACCCATCTACATCCCGTCGCATCCAGAAAAAAGGTATCAGTAGGGAGTTGAGAGCTGGGGGCTTACTTGGCTATAGTGCATTCCAGGTGTTCTAGCTAGGATCCCCGGCCGGATTAGTGTAGGATCTTGGTTCCGTAGAGAATAAAGGTTCCGTACTACCTATCAGCCATTTTGATAGAATTCACCTTGATCATCTGGTAGGGAGATGTTGTAAGCGTGCTGTGCTATTGCTTGATCGCGTAGTTCACCGCAAAACTTGTTTGTCGCGTTCTGACCTAACGACACACTCCTTTGTAGTTTCACTGGGACATGAGTAATGTTGGGAACACATTCAGGTAAACCCTGACCGTTTCTACGGTAGACATCGTCGAGTGATCACAAGGTCCCCTTCAGGTGTACGGTGCAAAAGTAAGGTTCAACTTCTGCAGCCCCATGTGTCCGATAATGACCCTTCCTTGATTAGAATATTTTCCTATTTATAAAGTATACATTGACAGTTAGGCATTGAGCTGTGACTTCTTGGACGTAGGTCTGTGTGGCCCAAGAGATGTAATAAATAGATATGTTCCATTACTTAGTTCAATTACCGTCACCTGGTAAGATCTGAAAAACATGATCGAAATTTTGTTGTCAACAGAATGAATACGTTCACCTGTGGTATGCGAAGTATTTGTGTTTTGTTATTCTTCATTGCACTATTTTTACAAGATTGACTGGCAGACATCGCCTGAGGGACAACTGATTGTGGGCAGCTGCTAATGATTGCAATACTGCAGCGGGCAGCAGTAGTAAGGCATCTACCAAGAGAACTGGGTAGGAGAGCAGAGAAAGGGAAAATAAGGAGGAACACAATGAAAGGAATGGATGGAGAGTGACCAGAGAGTTAGCAGTGGCCCACACAGACTTCACTAGGATATCACAGCTATACTATATGGGCGTTCTTTACCTGTGCCTCCAAGTTGATGATGGGTGTTTCCAGTGGGTGCCATACGTTCCAGAGATTGGTCCTAGTCTATGCTACGGGTGCCTCGCCAGGGAAAGTAATGTCACTGTGAAGGAGGATAAGGAAGTGGCGACAATCCAGTGAGTGAAGAGTAGGTTTTGATTCTTGAATAAGGAAAGGATACAGATCGACTGAATGAGGGTATTAGAAGCCGTGTGGGGTAGGCTCGAGGGTTGGCGAAGAGATGAGTCCCTCCGGGCGTGAGCAACTTTTGTTGTTCCAATAGGAAGTGGCTTTTCAGGTTTCTCGTTTTTCACGCGAAGCTTTTCAGTTTTTCTTAAATTTATTGGATAGTTCGAAATACAGCGAAATCACTCATAACTGGTGGTCTGAGGTCTGTTCAATTGTCTTTTCTCTAATAGGGGTTAAAGTGGATTTTGCTCATGGTGATGACTATTGAAGCTCGATTTTCCTTTTGTTTTGCCGATGCTTTTCCTTCCACTTGTTCAGTAACAAATTCACCGTCGCTCAGGAAATTTTTGTTGTCAATCGTGCACGTAACACCGTTTTTTCCTTCCGATCCTACTGATTGTGAGATACCCAGTAGGGTCGGAATGCACTGTAGTCGTTTATCTAGGCTTGAACTAGTAGCGATCGATGGTTTACTTTCGATGACGGACCCATAGAAGTAAAGACCTGAAGCTCATCAACTGACCGAACAAAATTTGTCGAGACCATTTTAGGGTGGATTTGCTCCTTCGAAAATCTCTAGGAGTCGTTACGTGTCGATTTTAATTGGTATCATCCCATCTTAGGAGCCTCCAAATACCTGAATCCAAGTATGAGAGTCATTTTCCAGTTGCTGAATGACGAGTCCACGACTTCTGCATCCAGATGACGCTGATGATTCGGATTCTTCTTCAGATGGCACATGCCTACCGGTAAAGGTATTGCCACGACGATCGGCTACTGTTTCACCGAGAATGAGAGGCGTTCTCAGAGAGTCACGGTCAGTCTCTTCGCCTTTACGTATGGAAGACATATTCGACAAAATGATTTTGATCGATTCATATTTGATATTCAATAGATCATAGATGGGTAAATGTATCTGAAAGGACAAAGGATAAAGTTGGGGGCGCTAATCAATCCCGTCTGAGTGATGAGCCCCGCATTTAACTTCCATTTAGAGTTGTAGTGTCGTATTGAATGCGTATGTGGCCTATACAATGACTGCGGTGACCAACTGATGTACAAGTCAGTACTTTTATCTTTCCAGATGAGTCTGGTACCAATCCACCGACCCCGGGGGATGGAAGGCTTGGTTGGTTTAGGAAGATACCTATCCGGGATTCGTATTTTTACGCATTTCGTTATTCTCGTATAGAATCGCGAATGTAGCATGGACCCAAGGTTCGTGCTGCTGCTCTCAGATTTGGGAAGTAATCGCAATACAGTTCGATAACAAAGGTAATCAAAGGAAATAAAGGGAGGAAAGGGTGGGGTATCCTGTATTCTATCAGGTACAGTATTCCAAAAGGCCTTCCCTACCAAACAGTGACCACAGTGAGGGAACAAACAAGTGTAATCCTGCTGGAACTCAGAACATAGCGAGGCATCCGGGCATACGATTATAGTAGCTAGCCGAAAACATACTTGACTTATGATCTTCAGCCTTTTGATTTATTTCTTCGGTTCAGACAAGATTGGTTTGACAGCTTGATTGTAAGCTTTTCTTTCACTAGACCTTTTGACTTCAGCCTTGATACCGGAGAGCGAAAAAGACGAAGAAGTATGGTCAAAAACAGCAGGGACTCCAGCATAGTAAGGCGACGTCTACGAAAGACCAGCAGTGAACCCAATGTGGAAGGAGTTGGAATGGTAAGTAAGCTAAATTAAGACCTTTTTTGTGGAATTACAATAGATATTTGATGATGACTAGATTGTGGCAACATTTTGGCAGGCTTCTATTGATTCCATTCTATTTAGACAGACATGAAGACATGTAAGCGAGGTTGGTTAGCGTAGGACTTGTCTGGGTTACATTACCACCCTGTGATATCCCAAGTCATCCTGATTTTTTGAAAGGGAAAATTTGCACTATGCTCATTTTGAATCTAGTGGGAGGCTAGTTTCTCTTGAGTACTACCATTCTGGTGTTTTCTGGCCAATCATCGAAAACACTCTCAAGTGCTGATCGAAGAAACCGGCAGTGAGAAAAATCCTTCAGTTGGTTCAGTTATAAAGTGCCTTAAAAATGCAGATTGAACCATCTTCGTTTCAAATCAGACGAACGGAATTTTGAAGAAAACTCCGAACGAAGGAGTATGTTCATTGGTCCGCTGCTCTTATTAACTGTCACAACCTCATTTGTTCTGCTGCATCTGCTACCCTTACCCGAGCTTCAGAAGTGGTCCTCCTGACCGTCCCTCCATCTTTTCTTCAGGGCTCCTGCAGGTTGATTCGTTTGAGCTTCAAGTTGAAACACTTTTCTGATGAGGTGATCTAGTGTACTTGGCAGCTCGCGCCCATACATCGCAGGCGCTGCTCTCTCCACGCCGGCTGGATTAGAGTTGTCTACATGGTTGTCCTACTTTCTGATTCGATCCAACCGTAGGCCCTTCCCAATATCCTCATCTCTGCTGAGTGAAGTTGCCTCTCATTATTCCTGCCTATCCGGGCCAGCATTCGCTGCGTAAAGCGTCTTGGGCTTCTTAAGAGGCCACTACTTTGTGAACCTTTCTTTGAGGTTCCTGAAGCACCCTTGTCCACCTAGGATGCTACTGGACTGCTCCACCTCACCCATTCCGCTTTTATTCGAGCCTTCACAACCTGAACCACATTGTCGTCTGCGGCTAGGCTACTAACCAGGTATCGAAAGTCTTGTTCTCTTCCAAAGACTCTTGCGTTGCTCTGCGTACTACTCGGAGCTGAAGAACGCAATCTTCTTCACGTTTAGTCATTGTTCTCTTGCCAGCGAGCTTTACCATTTCTGCAGTTTTTCTGAAGTTTCTTCCCTTCTCTCCGCTATTCGAACAATGCCATCAGCGTAGAGTCTTCAGTAATTGCTCCATGAATACTTTTGCGATGACATCTAGTGTTGATAGCTAGAGGAATGAGCTCGCAGATGATCTTCAATCATTCCCAACCGTCGCCTGTTCTTGTAAAGACGTGAAGTGTGGAATAGCAACAAGTTTCTCGAAAACGACACTGCCATCTGGGTAAGGGAAACCAGTGGTCTTGCGAGCAATACCACCTACCCCCAATCTTGACGAGATGTTCCTCAGTAAGACTCTCGGGAACTGGTTACGAGGCCCGGTCAACTGCCTCGTTTTCCCTGTCTCTAAATGGCTTTGATACTATCTCCGAACGAAGTTCCAATTGCGTCATCTGGACAATACTGAGCTAATCATTTTTATCTTGATGAATGGGAATTTTGATGCCTAACCATGACGTGGATGCTCCACCTACATATTTTTAACTTCTTCTTGAATGTTGAGGACTCGAACCTTCTTTACCCTCTCATTAAGCCCTTAATCAGACGGATGGCTTTTTCTCCATTACAATCCATTTTTCGTGGCTGCGTCATACCTTGTGGAAGCCCTTATTTCTACTGGTCGACCGATCCTATTTTGTTACTTTTTTTCTATTTTGCTAATCATAATTAGTCAATTTTATGACTTTGGCACAAAAGATCAATTCTTTGGGCGTAGAGCATCATGCATTGCGCACTCTCACACTCACGCATGGGCCGGGACCAAACCTTGGATCGATATCCGCCCAGATCATCCAATACTTCCAACCCTTAGTTTCGGTAAACTGGTTCCAGACTCATTTTCGAGGATGAAAGCACCATCTTGTACATCGGCGCAAATCATTGCATAGATCACATACGCATCCAGATGCCTCTACGAATCTAAATGAAGTCGAGTGCGGGGCGCATCCCAAAGAATAGGTTGATTAACACCTGATTCGGTCGTGAGATTTGTGTTTGAAGCCGTCACCAAGATACTAACCTGATTTATAAATCTTACAAAATTAGTTGATTTGTCATCTTGGTTACGGGTTCAAAAACAAATACCACCAAGACCATGGGAAACCATGCCAAGAACTACTGGAAGCGGACCTTGATACTCATGGCTATAGTAGACCATTTCTTAACCAAGATTTCGTTCTATCTTTTGATGGTTTTTGAGCATTCATCGAGGAAGACCCGCCAGCTAGATGACGTTCGATAAGAATGGAGTGCCCATAGAACCGGCTAGATGGGAAGCACTGAAGATGGGCATTCTCAAAAGCTGGTTTAGTTAAATACTGTATGA